CACATCGCTGTTAGGTTGCTTTGCCGGGATGTTTTGTTTTTTATTATTATTGTGTTGTTTAACAACAACCCCCCCCCAAAAAAAAAAAAAAAAAAAAAAAAAATGAAAAAAAGCCCTGGAACACCGATGTCATAGCCTCGTGTTCCTCCCCTCCTGCTGGGCCCCGCCGCGCGCACAGCAGCGCGGCGAGCTCGGCCAGCTGCGGGTCCAGGTGCGCCGCGAGGCCCACGGCCGCGGCCACCTCCGCCAGCGCCTTGCGCCGCCGGCCCTTCGCCGCGCCGGCGTCCACGGGCGCGTGCCGGGGGGCGCCTTAGAACAAGGCCAGCAACCTGGAGAGCCGAGCCCCCACTTACACAAGGCGGATGTGTCCCGGCGGGCCTGTTTCCCACTGCCACCCCTGGAGACCAGCTAGGAGGGGAGGGCGCCCTAAGCATCCTCCTCTCCCTTCCTCCCATCCTCCCTCCCTCCTCATCACTTCCTCCCTCACTCCCCCCTTTTTTTCCCTTCCTGCTCCTGCTGCCTCTCACTCTCTCTCATTCCTTATCTCCTCCCTCCACCTCCACCGCCTTCCCCTCCAACTACGGTGGGCGGTGTCGCGAAAAAACAAGCCCATCGGCTGATAAGCATACTCGGGGAGATGCAGGACTCGGGTTCGGGGGATTCGGGCTGGCCTGACGGGGCCGTCGGCAAGAGGACGAGTCCCGTGGTCTGAGATTTGCCGCGACCTCCCGCTGTAAACGTCCCACGAAAAGTGGACTGTCAAAAATCCAGGACGGGCTCGTCAAAAAGCGTCGGTCGGCTAACCCGAGTTCCGGCGAACTCGAGCCTTACGCTTCCCCGACAGACGGTTGAGAGCTTTTGCTTAACGTGTCGCGGCTGCGGCCCCGGCGACACGCTGCAGCCTGCAAGCGGACAGCGTCCAGCTCCGCTCCGCGGAGAAAAGCTCCAAACGTTGACGCTTGGGGACCAGGGAACGTGTGGGGTGGGAGATGGCAACGGCAACGGCGGCAACGGCGATCACGGTGACGATGACGATGACGACGACGACGACGACGACGGTGACGACGACCACGACCACGGTGACGACAATGACGACGACGACGACGACGACGACGACGACGACGACGACGACGACGACGACGACGACGACGGTGACGACAATGACGACGACCACGACCACGGTGACGACAACGACGACGACCACGACCACGGTGACGACGACGACGACGACGACGACGACGACGACGACGACGACGACGACAGCGTCTCTCTGCGACGACTAGCGCGTCGCCCTATCATGTGGTAGGCGGAACCAGCAGCGCGACGCGCCGAGCAGACACACGTGACCGTCAACGCTCGGAGAACTGCGCGCGTTTGGGGGGGCCTCTTGAGAGCCTCTTGGGCCGTCTTGGGGCGGTCTCGGGGGCCTCTTGGGCCGTCGTCGACGCCGTGGAAGCCGAAAAGCCGTATGTGCTAAAAATGCACGTTTTCCTGAGGACAATCAATGATGTTGGCCTCTTGGGGCCCTCTTGGGACCTTCTGTGCGCGCCCCGCGCAAAAGGAGGGGGCCCAGCGCCGATGCGAGAAGTCCGCGCGGGCCTCCGACAGCACGTGCTCTGTGCTCTTGCCGGCTTTAAGGGCAACAAAAATACCGATCCCGCTGCTCCGCACACCTCTCCCAATGGTGGCTCTAACCACCATCTCGAGGCGAATTCAGCCGCGGCGAAGCGAAGCGGTACTGGTACCTTCTCCTCCCCTAAGAACTATCACCGTCACCATCTTCTTCATCATCATCATCATCAGCAGCAGCCCCCAAGCACACCAAGCAGCAGCAAAAAAAAAAAAAAGCAGCAGCACACATCATCATTAATCAGCACTAAGCAACAAAAAAAATCATCCCTCATCAACATCATCATCATCAATATACTCATCATCATCACTCATCATCATCACAGCAGCAGCAGGATCAGCAGCATAAGCTCCAGCATTCAGCATCAGGCATCAGCCTATCAGCACTCAGCATCATTGCACATCATCATCATCCATCATCCATCATCATCATCATCATCATCATCATCATCATCATCATCATCATCATCATCATCGTAATCAACATCATCATCATCATCATCATCATCATAATCATCATCATCATACTTACCATCTTCAAATTGATCTGAATGTTCATCTCCATCATCAGAATCAGCATCACGACCACCATCACCATTACCATCGCCATCACCTTTCCATCACCATCATCATCATCAGCAGCAGCATCACGATCATCATCATCATCATCATCCTCATCCTCGTCCTCATCATCATCACCACAATCATCATTATCATCATCAGCAGCAGCATCAGCATCAGCAACAGCATCAGCATGAACGTCATCATCATCATCATCATCATCAACATCAATTTCACCACCATCATCATGATCATCAGCAGCATCAGAAATATCATTATCATATTCATCATCGCCATCAGCATCATCATCGCCATCATCATCGGCAGCAGCATCAGCATCAGCAACACCATCACACTCATCATCACCATCATCATCAGAATCAGCATCAGCAGCATCATCAGCAGCATCATCACTGTCACCATCACCATCACCATCACCATCATTATCATCAGCATCATAATCATCTCCATCATCATCCTCATCATCACCACCATCATCAGAAGCAGCAACATAGTTTCCTTGTTATTCTCCTTCGACCACCGTGGTGCAGACCCGCACTGCCGCCCGCAGCAGCACGTGCACGCTCGCCACGCACATGTCGCAGCGACGGCAGCGGCACTGCCAGGCCGCGCTGCCGCCCTCCAGGACGGCGAGCTCCAGCCGCCCCAGCTCCGCGGACTGCTCCGACTGCAAGCGGCGCTGCTGCAGCACCTGCCGCCGGGCCTGCGCGACGGCCGCGGAGAGGCCCGTGCCCTCGAGAGTAAACAAAATACAACGACGACAACAACGACAACGACAACGACAACGACAACGACAACAACAACAACAACAACAACCACAACAACCACAACAACCACAACAACCACAACAACAACAACAACAACAACGATAACAGCAACGACAACGACAACGACACCAACAGCATAGCTGCAGGAGCAACAACAACAGCAATCATGTTATCCGAATGCTCTACAATTCTAAATGCAGCACGCATCCATCCTGCTAGCTCCCTCTCATGGAAGATATTTTCTTGCACAAGGTGGTCTGATACACCCTTACCCAGATCTTCCATCCGAGGAGGTCTTGACAACACCTCTTCCGAGGCATTTCAACATCTCCAACCCGGATGGCCCTCGCCGTCGCGATCGCCCTGCCCACGCCTTGTTTCTAAGAGCGCGTTTCTTTATGTTCGGCGATGACGGGCGTCATGGGGGGGGGTGGGGGGCGGGAGGGGGTATGACGTAACGCCCCCCCCGCCGTGTGGCTCCAGCACCACAGCCGCGCCCGAGCGCACGACGCGACGAGCGACGAGCGACGAGCGACGACGACGACGACGACGACGACGACGAGCAGCATGTAGGTGGCGATCTGCCCCACTGCGCCTGTGTACACCGCAACGCTCGCGTGCACCACAGCGCGCATGTACACCACAGCGCGCACGTACACCGCAACAACGTGTGCAACGCAGCGCTTCTGTACACCGCAATGCTTGCGCACACTACAGCGCCAGTGTACATGTGTACACCGCAGCAACCATGTGCAACACAGCGCCTGTGTACATCACACTGCTTGCGTGCACCGCAACACCTGTGCACGCCACAGCGCCTGTCTACACCACAACATCCGCGTGCAACGCAGCGCTGGTGTACACCACAGTGCCTGCGTGCATAGGACATGTAGAAAGAGCATGTATGTGAGGATCTGCTGCGGACAACTAAACGCCACGCCATGCAAGTGCTGATAATCGACATGCGACATTTCTCCCTCCTCCTCCTCCACCTCATCCTCGTCCTCCTCCTCCTCCTCCTCCTCCTTACCCCCTTTTCGTGCGGGTTGGCGCTATAGCGCAGGTGCGCAATCGGTCCATTTGGTTCTCGGACGGCCAATGTTGCTGAAGCCTCCTGGACACAGATGGGAGGAACTAGGGTGGCGTGGGCGAACTCAGGAGGACTCGTAGATTCCAGCGGCGCTCCTTGGTCCATAAAAATTCCTTTTCTGTTGTCTTTATTGGAATCCACAAGCGCTCCATTTTGTCATGAAGATCCTTTCGGACACTCTACATACAACACGGTTGCTGTGGTGCAAACAGATCCGTGGTGCACGCAGGCACTGCAATGCACGCAGGTATTGCGGTGTACACTGGTGCTGCGTTGCACACGGCTGATGTGGTGTACGCAGGCGCTGTAGTGTACACAAGTGCTGCTGTGCCCGCAGTCGCGGTGGCACAAACTGACACTGTGTTGCACGCGGCTGCTGTGGTATACACAAGCAACGTGGTGTACACAGGCGCTGTGGTGCACGCAGGCACTGCGGTGTACACAGGCGTTGTGGTGCAGATCGCCACCTACATGCTGGTGCCCCCCTTCCTCCGCCATCCCTAAGCATTCCCAGACGCCGCCGGAGCGAAACGTGAAGTCATCGACCCCCTCCACCACCACCCCCCAGATAATTGCCGTCATCGGCCCAGAAGACAAAATCAGGCTCCAGCCGCGTCCGCGCGCGCGACGACGATGAGCGACGAGCGACGAGCGACGAGCGACGAGCGACGACGACGACGACGACGTCCACGACGACGCCGACGTCCACGACGACGACGACTGCGGACCAGACTCCAATGCGGATTCCTGCACGGACACCTACGCGGATCCCAATGCGCACGGCGGTAGTGCCCGCAGCGCACTGGGGGGGAGCGCTACGTCATAGGGTTGGGGGGGGGGGCGGGGGCCATGAAGCCCGTCATGCCCCAAGCAATAAAGAAACGGGCTCGAAGTATAACCACGCCCGAGCGGCCAGGAGAGGACCCACAACCTCTGGGAGAGCCCCTGGAGCCTCCTGGACAGCCTTAGGGGCCCGTTGGAGAGCCCCCAGAGCCTCTCAGAGAAGCTTCAGAGCCCGTGTGGTAAACATGGAGGCCCCTGGGAGCCGCTTTAAAACTGAACTGGAGGATTTCGGGCCATCTTGAAGGAGGCCTTAAGGCATTGTTGGAAAAGGCTTGGATCGGAGGAGCTTCTGAACCTCGGAGAGTGAAGAAGAGGAGGGAGCAGGAGGAGGAGGAGGAGGAGAAGGAAGGAGGAAAGGAGGAAGGAGGCGGGAAACGAGGGGGAAGGAGGAGCAGGAGGAGGACGACGACGACGACAAAGACGAGGACGAGGACGACGGGGTCGCCGCCGCGAGCTCTCGGGCCGCCCCTGGCACGCGGAGCGCGCCAGGGAGGCACTGGCGCAGACCTCCGACCGACGGTGCATGCTGCACTCTTGAGGATCGGCAATAGGGACTGGGGAAGCCCCAGGGCCTCTGGGAGTCTTGAACACAAGCGGAGCAGGTATCGAACAGGAGCGTCGTTGTTTGCAGGGGGGCCGTCTGAGGCAAGGGGGAAAGCTGGTCCCGAGTACCAAGAGAGGGGTATCGAGCGGGATCGCCCCGGTCTTGTGGGCAAGCCGGCAGTCGGAGTGAGAGCCCCGATCCCGAGCAGAAAAGGAGGAGATATGGAGCGGGAGTGCTGAATTCTCAGTTCAACCAAAAACAGATTGTTAATCCTCCTCTCCGGTAACCAGTAGATGTGCCCTATGGTTTACGAGAGAAACCTGGGTGTCACCAACCTGTGCCCCTGCTCCCCATTTACAGCAACATTCACAACAACAACAACAACAACAACAACAACAACAACAACAACAGCAGCATCAGCAACAACAATAACAACAACAACAACAACAACAACAACAACAACAACAACAACCACAACCACAACAACAACAACAACAACAACAACAACAACAACAACAACAACAACAACAACAACGACGACGACGACGACGACGACGACGACGACGACAACAACCACAGCAACAACAACAGCAGTAGCAACAACAACATCGGCTCCTGCCGAATACTTTCTCACGGTGTATTCCAAAATGGCGTTCCCGCGTGGGACGTCCTCACAGCTTATGCAAGAATCGCGCTGTCGCGTGTGACTTCGTCACGATGTATTCAGGCGCCGCGCCTTCGGCACTCAGGAATCACGCTCTCGCGTTGGCCTTTCTGACGATTTACTTGGGAATCGCGCTATCGCTCGAGCTCTCCCCGCGATTCATGCAATACTCACGCTTCAGCAATGCGCCTTCTCGACCTTCCCGCATGGGCCCACCTTCCCGACCCGCCCGTTAGGATCAACCCGCCCGATGAGCCCGTCTGGTTCTGCCATGTGTTTTCTGCTCCTGGCCCTCTCATGCGAATCCTGTGCTCCATCCTTCTCCCTCCCCCTTCAGTCCGTCCTCTCTTCCCCTGTTTCAAAGGCTGCACCAATTACCCCCGACGGGTACAGAAGATATACCCCCAGGGGGTACTATCGATTTCGAAGAAGGCGAGTACCGAGTGTTTGGGACATACGTGTTGAGTGGAACGCGAGCAGGTAAGAACGAACAGTCTGAAAATGTCCGCTGTTGAATATTATGAAAGAATAATTACTGTTGATCCCCCCTCTGGTAACCACTGTATTTCCCCAATCAGAGCTTGCCTCTGTAGGGGGCCTAACGGATTCATAGGGTTAGGTTATAGGTTTGCCGCCGACTTTCGCTGCACGCCCGGGTGCCTGGGTGCCCGGGGATGCCCGGGGCCCGGGTGCCCGGGGGGGGTGCCCAGGGGTGCCCGGGTGCCCGGGTGCCCGAGTGCCCAGGTGCCCGGGCGTGCCCCGCGGTGCCTGGGGGGGCCCAGGGGGGCCCTATAGCCCTATAGCCCTATAGCCCTATATATATATATATATATATATACCTATAGCCCTACAACTCTATAGCCCTATAGCTCTATAGCCCTATAGCTCAATAGCCCTATAGCCCTATAGCCCTATAGCCCTACAGCCCTATAGCCCTGATTGGGTTTTTTCTCCGGCATCATTTTGTCACCTGAACCGTGCCAGCCAACACGTAGATCCCGAACCCTCGATACCCGTTCTCTTCGTCTTCGATCGTACCCCTAACTGCAACGTGTATTTCGTGCCGCCCCTAAGGCAGGGGAAAAGAGGACGGATGGAAGGAAGGACAGGGGGGAGGGAGGAGGATGAAGTACGACAGTCAGAATAGAAGGAACGGGGAGCAGAAAACACGCGGCAGAACCAGACGGGCTCATCGGGCGGATAGACCCTAACGGGCGGGCACGGAAGGCGGGCCCAGGCGGCCAGGTCGAGCAGGCGGGTTGCTGAAGCGTGCGTCCCGCATGGATCGCGGGGAAGTCTCAAGCGATAGCGCTATTCCCAATGAATCGTCCGGAAATCTACAGCGAGAGCGTGACTCCTGAGTGTCGAGGGCGCGGCATTTGAATAAGTTGCGAGGAAGTCCCACGCGAGAGCAAGATTCCTGTATAAAGTGTGAAGAAGTCCCGCGCGAGAGAGCGATTTGGGAATAAATTGAACGGAAATATCAAGCGGGAGCCGCTGTTGTTGTAAACCGGGGGCCAGGGGCACAGTTTGGTGACCCCCCACTTTACCTTGCATCTGCGCTGGGCCCCCTCCCTGGCGCGCGAAGCGCGCCAGGGGGCGGCGCTGGAGGCGCCGCAAGGGGACTCCGGAGCAGATTCAGGAAATCTGCGCGGACCTCCGGAAGTGTACAAGCATAGTGCTGTGATCAGGTCAGGCACGTCCTCCTACAGGGGGGTTTTGGACAAAAACAATAGATAGTCAAAACGTACCCACCACATGATCAAAAAAAACGTCTCTTGGCTATTTTTTGACTAGTCTTGAATACTCATCTTGTAGAGGGACAGGCCCGACTGAAGTTTCTGGCTCACATGGACGCTTTTGTTGTTTAATGTTGGGGCATATTATGTTCCCACTGCGCACAGGTCGCCACCGCAAACTTTAGCGCCATTGACGGCGACCAGATGGGAGAGAGCAACATGGCCAACGCGCTGACTTCCACACTTCTTTCCCTCCCCCCTCGATCCTCGGCCGCGCCCCGCACCGCCAGGGGCGGCGGGCTGCCACGGCGCACGGCCACGAGCGGCGGCGGCGGGCTGCCCTCGCTGCCCGAGGCGGGCGACGCTCGCCGCGGGGACGCCATCGCCGAGCCGGGGCCGCGCCAGGGCGCGGCGCGCCCCCTGGCGCTCCAGGGCTCCTCCTGGGATGATGATGATGATGATGATGATGAGGAGGAGGAGAGGAGGAGGAGGAGGAGGAGGAGGAGAGGAGGAGGGGGGGGGGAGGGGGTGAGGAGGAGGAGGAGAGGGAGGAGAGGAGGAGGAGGAGGAGAGAGAGGGAGGAGGAGGAGGAGGAGGAGGAGGAGGAGGAGGAGGGAGGAGGGGGGAGGGGGAGGAGGAGGGGGAGGGGGAGGGAGGGGGAGGAGGAAGGTGGACAAGCTAGGTGAGCGCGCCCCCTGGCGCTTCCAGGCTGCCTGCCGGGGCCGCCCCGGCGACCGCCGGGGCCTCGCGGGGGTCCAGGTCGGCCAGCGCCGGGGCCGGCCGGGGCCCCGGGGCCCGCCCGAGGCCCGCCCGGCGCCCGGGCCCCTGCCAGTCGGCCACCGGGTCCTCGGGGCCGCTTCGCCCAGGAGAAGGAGGAGGAGGAGGAGGAGGAGAGGAGGAGGAGGAGGGAGGAGGAGGAGGAGGAGGGGGAGGAGGGGGAGAGGAGGAGGAGAGGAGGAGGAGGAGGAGTAGGAGGAGGAGGAGGAGGGAGGAGGAGGAGGAGGAGTGAGGAGGAGGAGGAGGAGGAGGAGGAGGAGGAGGGGGAGGAGGAGGAGGAGGAGGAGGAGGAGGAGGGGGAGGAGGAGGGGGAGGAGGAGAACCAGTGGAAACCCAAGTCATCCCTCCATGCTCCCTCTTCAGAAGCTCCTACAATGTGAGGGAACTGCGTCGCTGGGAGACAACAGTTTGAAGATTCTGACGCGTACCAAGACATGGTTCTCGGGATCTCAAACCCACGTATCAACCTGACTGCTGCATCTTGACGATTCAGAACCGTGCCAGAACGCCATCTTGGGGACTTCAACACAGCGAATCAACATAACTGTTGCGCCCGCATAATCCACAATCCTTCCTAAACACAAATTCTGGTGCGCTGACCATGGGAATCCGTAAAGCTCTTGGAATGTGTAAAACAAAAGCGCGCGGCGCTAAGGCGAGAGCCACATTTTGAAAACGACCTGCCCTCAATCTGCAAAACTCCTGCAATTTTTGTTCAACGAATGTGCGCAGCGCTAAGGGGAGAGCCATATTTTGAAAACGGCCCGCCCACAACCTGCAACACTCCTTCAATTTGTTTAAACGAATGCGCGCGGCGCTAAGGCGAGAGCCACATTTTGAAAACGACCCGCCCTCATTCCCCAAGATTTTAGCAAATGATTAAAGCGAATGTGCGCGGCGCCAAGGCGAGAGCCACATTTTGAAAACGACCCGCCCTCAATCCGCAAAACTCTTACAATGTTCTAAAACGAATGTGCGCAGCGCAAAGGCGAGAGCCACATTTTGAAAACGACCCGCCCTCAATCCGCGAAACTCTTGTAAATTGTTTTGAAAATGCGCGCGGCGCTAAGGCGAGAGCCACATTTTGAAATCACCCGCCCTCAATCCGTGAAACTCTTGCAGTTTTTACAACGAATGTGCGTGGCGCTAAGGCGAGAGCCATACTGAAAGCGACCCACCCTCCATCCCAGGCGAAACGCCCTAAAAACTGGCCTCGGGGTGCGACGGGGGCGAGCTATCTAGAAGGAGAAGGAATGGAGGAGGAGGGGGAGGAGGAGGAGGAGGAGGAGGAGGAGGAGGAGGAGGAGGAGGAGGAGAAGTAGGAGGAGGTCCTCGGGGCCGCCCGCCCTGCTGCTCCAGGCCTCCGCCGGAGCCCCCGCGGGGGCCGCCTCGCGCTCGGGGCCTCTGCCGGCGGCAGGGGCCCCCAGGGTGGCCCCCTGCGCCTGCGAGAGCCGCCCCGCGCGGGCGCGGGCCACGGTGCCGCGGCGGAAGCTCTGGATCGTCACCGCCGCCGCGGCCTGCCGCTGGAGCTGCTGCAGCTCCTCGGCACGCCCCCGCGCGCCGTCCGAGCCGCTGTGTGCGGCGCCGCCGGGCGGCGGCGGCGGGCCCTCGCGGCGGCCCGCGGCGAGGCTCAGGCGCGCGGCCTGCTGGTCCGCCGCCCGCGCCCAGCGCCGAGCCTCCTCCAGGTCCCGCCTCTGCTGCCTCAGCGCCGCCACGACGCCCTGGGCCTCTCGGGCGCGGAGGTGGCTCTGGATGGTCAGGGCCGCTGCAGCGCGCCGCTGCTCCTCCAGCTGCCGGACCCGGCGCTCGGCCGCCTCTCTCTGCCGCTGCCGGTCCTGGGATTCCTGGGGCGCCTGCCCTGGACTCAGGCGCGCGGCCTGCCGGTCCGACGTCCGCGCCCGCCGCTGGGCCTCCTCGAGGTCCCTCCGCTGCTGCCTCAGCGACGCCACGGCAGCCCTGGCCCGTCGGGCGCGGAAGCTGCTCTGGATCCGCCACAGTGCCCCCTGGCACGTTGAGGCGAGGTAGCATGCCAAGTGTCACCTGGTAGGGCTTCTGTAATCTTGCAAAAAGGGCCACCTATCACCCTCTACGTAGTAGAAGACAGTGGCGTGCGTCGCCCCCCCCTTCAGCGGCTTCCTGGGCTGCCAGACGGCTCCCTGGCGATCCCCAGGGCGTCCAAGATGCCCAAGATGGCTCCCAAGACGGCCCGGGCAAGCTACCAAGACCGCCAAGATGGCCCGCGTTGCCTACATGACGGCCCACGGTGAATCCAAGACAGCCGAAGATGGCCTCAGAAATGCTCGAGAACCTTTTAAGACTGCCGCAGGGGGCTCGAAGAGAACCTCCACAGCAGGGCCCAGACGGCCATCTGGGACCCCAAGAGGGCCCCAAGACGACCCACAGAGCCCCCGAAAAACATTTCCCGAACGCGCCCAGACGGCCCAAGAGCGCTCCCAGACGGCCCAAGGATCCCCCGACAGCCTCCGGGTCCGCCGAGACGATGCCAAGGGGGGCCCAAAGAGGCCCCCAAGAGGCCCCCAAAGGCACCAAGAGGCCCCCAAGGGCAACCCCAGGGACTTCGAGAGGGGGGGGAGCGGGGGGTGGTTGTGGGTTTTTTGGGGGGTGGGGGGGGGGGGCGGGGGGCGCGAGGGTGGTGGGAGGGGGCGGGGGGGGGGGGGGCCCGAGGTGTCGCACGTGACGGCCTCCCGTGCCCCGTAGCCGCCACCCGGAAGGGCGGGCTGGCACGGCGGCGGCACTCGCCGCAAGCAGCTGGATGGTCAGGGCCGCTGCAGCGCGCCGCTTCTCCTCCAGCTGCCGGACCCAACGCCTCGGCCGCCTCTCTCTGCCGCTGCCGGTCCTGGGATTCCTGGGGCGCCTGCCCTGGACTCAGGCGCGCGGCCTGCCGGTCCGCCGTCCGCGCCCGCCGCTGGGCCTCCTCGAGGTCCCTCCGCTGCTGCCTCAGCGACGCCACGGCAGCCCTGGCCCGTCGGGCGCGGAAGCTGCTCTGGATCCGCCACAGTGCCCCCTGGCACGTTGAGGCGAGGTCGCATGCCAAGTGTCACCTGGCAGGGCTTCTGTCATCTTGCAAAAAAGGCCCCCTATCACCCTCTACGTAGTAGAAGACAGTGGCGTGCGTCGCCCCCCCCTTCAGCGGCTTCCTGGGCTGCCAGACGGCTCCCTGGCGATCCCCAGGGCGTCCAAGATGCCCAAGATGGCTCCCAAGACGGCCCGGGCAAGCTACCAAGACCGCCAAGATGGCCCGCGTTGCCTACATGACGGCCCACGGTGAATCCAAGACAGCCGAAGATGGCCTCAGAACTGCTCGAGAACCTTTTAAGCCTGCCGCAGGGGGCTCGAAGAGAACCTCCACAGCAGGGCCCAGACGGCCATCTGGGACCCCAAGAGGGCCCCAAGACGACCCACAGAGCCCCCGAAAAACATTTCCCGAACGCGCCCAGACGGCCCAAGAGCGCTCCCAGACGGCCCAAGGATCCCCCGACAGCCTCCGGGTCCGCCGAGACGATGCCAAGGGGCCCAAAGAGGCCCCCAAGAGGCCCCCAAAGGCACCCAAGAGGCCCCCAAGGGCACCCCCAGGGACTTCGAGAGGCCCGAGGTGTCGCACGTGACGGCCTCCCGTGCCCCGTAGCCGCCACCCGGAAGGGCGGGCTGGCACGGCGGCGGCACTCGCCGCAAGCAGCTGGATGGTCAGGGCCGCTGCAGCGCGCCGCTTCTCCTCCAGCTGCCGGACCCAACGCTCGGCCGCCTCTCTCTGCCGCTGCCGGTCCTGGGATTCCTGGGGCGCCTGCCCTGGACTCAGGCGCGCGGCCTGCCGGTCCGCCGTCCGCGCCCGCCGCTGGGCCTCCTCGAGGTCCCGCCGCTGCTGCCTCAGCGACGCCACGGCAGCCCTGGCCCGTCGGGCGCGGAAGCTGCTCTGGATCCGCCACAGTGCCCCCCCTGGCACGTTGAGGCGAGGTCGCATGCCAAGTGTCACCTGGCAGGGCTTCTGTCATCTTGCAAAAAAGGCCCCCTATCACCCTCTCCGTAGTAGAAGACAGTGGCGTGCGTCGCCCCCCCCTTCAGCGGCTTCCTGGGCTGCCAGACGGCTCCCTGGCGATCCCCAGGGCGTCCAAGATGCCCAAGATGGCTCCCAAGACGGCCTGGGCAAGCTACCAAGACCGCCAAGATGGCCCGCGTTGCCTACATGACGGCCCACGGTGAATCCAAGACAGCCGAAGATGGCCTCAGAACTGCACGAGAACCTTTTAAAGCCTGCCGCAGGGGCTCGAAGAGAACCTCCACAGCAGGGCCCAGACGGCCATCTGGGACCCCAAGAGGGCCCCAAGACGACCCACAGAGCCCCCGAAAAACATTTCCCGAACGCGCCCAGACGGCCCAAGAGCGCTCCCAGACGGCCCAAGGATCCCCCGACAGCCTCCGGGTCCGCCGAGACGATGCCAAGGGGCCCAAAGAGGCCCCCAAGAGGCCCCCAAAGGCACCCAAGAGGCCCCCAAGGGCACCCCCAGGGACTTCGAGAGGCCCGAGGTGTCGCACGTGACGGCCTCCCGTGCCCCGTAGCCGCCACCCGGAAGGGCGGCCTGGCACGGCGGCGGCACTCGCCGCAAGCAGCTGGATGGTCAGGGCCGCTGCAGCGCGCCGCTGCTCCTCCAGCTGCCGGACCCGGCGCTCGGCCGCCTCTCTCTGCCGCTGCCGGTCCTGGGATTCCTGGGGCGCCTGCCCTGGACTCAGGCGCGCGGCCTGCCGGTCCGCCGTCCGCGCCCGCCGCTGGGCCTCCTCGAGGTCCCTCCGCTGCTGCCTCAGCGACGCCACGGCAGCCCTGGCCCGTCGGGCGCGGAAGCTGCTCTGGATCCGCCACAGTGCCCCCTGGCACGTTGAGGCGAGGTCGCATGCCAAGTGTCACCTGGCAGGGCTTCTGTCATCTTGCAAAAAAGGCCCCCTATCACCCTCTACGTAGTAGAAGACAGTGGCGTGCGTCGCCCCCCCCTTCAGCGGCTTCCTGGGCTGCCAGACGGCTCCCTGGCGATCCCCAGGGCGTCCAAGATGCCCAAGATGGCTCCCAAGACGGCCCGGGCAAGCTACCAAGACCGCCAAGATGGCCCGCGTTGCCTACATGACGGCCCACGGTGAATCCAAGACAGCCGAAGATGGCCTCAGAACTGCTCGAGAACCTTTTAAGCCTGCCGCAGGGGGCTCGAAGAGAACCTCCACAGCAGGGCCCAGACGGCCATCTGGGACCCCAAGAGGGCCCCAAGACGACCCACAGAGCCCCCGAAAAACATTTCCCGAACGCGCCCAGACGGCCCAAGAGCGCTCCCAGACGGCCCAAGGATCCCCCGACAGCCTCCGGGTCCGCCGAGACGATGCCAAGGGGCCCAAAGAGGCCCCCAAGAGGCCCCCAAAGGCACCCAAGAGGCCCCCAAGGGCACCCCCAGGGACTTCGAGAGGCCCGAGGTGTCGCACGTGACGGCCTCCCGTGCCCCGTAGCCGCCACCCGGAAGGGCGGCCTGGCACGGCGGCGGCACTCGCCGCAAGCAGCTGGATGGTCAGGGCCGCTGCAGCGCGCCGCTTCTCCTCCAGCTGCCGGACCCGGCGCTCGGCCGCCTCTCTCTGCCGCTGCCGGTCCTGGGATTCCTGGGGCGCCTGCCCTGGACTCAGGCGCGCGGCCTGCCGGTCCGCCGTCCGCGCCCGCCGCTGGGCCTCCTCGAGGTCCCTCCGCTGCTGCCTCAGCGACGCCACGGCAGCCCTGGCCCGTCGGGCGCGGAAGCTGCTCTGGATGGTCAGGGCTGCTGCGGCGCGCCCGCTCTCCTCCATCTGCCGCACACGGCGCTCGGCCGCCTCCCTCTGCCGCTGCCGGTCCTCCAGGGCCTGTGCCGACCTCGAGCGCCCCAGCGACTGATCGCGCTCGCGCTCGCCCTGCGCCAACTCCCCGCGGAGGTCAGCGCGCGAGCCGAGACCTATGCTGGAGGGACCATCCTTGGCCAGCAGCAGCCGCAGCACGCTGCGGCGGCCCTGCGAGCGTGCTGCATCCTCGGGCCTGTCACCGTCGCGGTTGGCGAGCGCCCGGTCGGCCCCCCGGGCCAGGAGGCAGCGGACCACGGCGGCGTGGCCCTGGTGCGCGGCGACGAACAGCGCCGTCCAGCCCTCCGTGTCCTGTGCGTCTATCCGCCGCCGTGCCCTGTGCGCGGTGGGGCGTGTTAGGATGTTCCTCTGCGGGCTGGTGAGGTTTCGAAGGCCGACCCCATCCCCACCCCGCCCGCTTCCTCCGACAATGGCCCTCGACCTCGGGAGCTGATTTAGGGGAATTCCCCCAAAAAGAATGAGCGCGGTCTGTGGGCGCTTGGGGGGGG